TGAAAGGTCCCAGGTTCGATTCCCATCAAGGGCATGTACCTTGGTTGCGGGCACATCCCCAGTTGGAGGTGTGCTGGAGACAGCTGATGATGTTTCTCTCTCATCGATGTTTCTAACTCTCTATCTCTCTCCCTTCCTCTCTGTAAAAAGTCAATAAAATATATATATTTAAAATTTTTAAAAAGAAAAAGATAAATCCAGTTTCTAGTATCAATGGCTGTAACCCCCCACTGCTATGGTTCACCCACTTCAAGCATTTCTTGGTTCCTCTTTGGAAATTAGAATTCTCTCTCTCTCTCTCTCTCTCTCTCTCTCTCTCTCTCTCTCTCTCTCTCTCTCTCTTTCTCAAGTGATATCTTGGGTGGATAATGATGACTTTGTTGGAACTTATTCATCTTTCAACTAGTGAACTCTAAGTACTTTTCCTGCTCATTTCTAAAGCTCCAAATGCATAAATTCTCTAACATTCACATCAGGGCAATCAAAACTAGCACAATTTTGAGGTTAAAATTAGGTCCTATGAAAAATTATGATGAAACAATACACATGAACTGACTGTCTAAGGCAAACCAGGATACATGGTCATGCTAGATATAAGACATATATGTAAAACAGAAAGAAAAGATTGGAAAAGTTGCTGGGAGCAATAAAAATTTAAGTCATCCCTGTTGCAACTCATTAAGCAAACAACAGAATTCCTGGGCATTAGTTGATATAGCGATATTTTAACAGAACAACGAGACCTAATGCTCAGATATTTTTAGACCACTTGGAGACAAAATTAGACCAAACTGGCAGACTTTTGCAAGTTAAAAATATGTAGATCCTTTTAATCCAGGAATTCCACTTCTAAGAAATTTGCCCAATGAAATAATTGTGGATATGTGCAAATATTTGACTAAAAAAACTTCACCCAGCAGTGCTTATAGAAAGGAGGGGTGGGACTAATATTCATGAATAGTGAATTGGATTATATAAATTATCATAGCCATAGAACAAAATTCTATGCATTTAAAATAACACTATAAAACAACCCCCAAATGAAAGAACAAGAGAATTCTCCAGAAGAAGAGATAAATGAAGCAGAGATAAGAAATTGAGTTGAAATAGAGTTCAGAGTAATGATGGTAAATATTCTCAACAGCATGAAAAAAGATATAGTAACTATGAAAAAAGAACAGTTGGAAATAAAGAATGACATAACACAAATAAAGAACACAATGAAGAATACACAGCAGATTAGGGCAGTGGTTCTCAACCTTTCTAATGCCACAACTCTTTAATAGTTCCTCATGTTGTGGTGACCCCCAACCATAAAATTATTTTTTGTTGCTACTTCATAACTGTAATTTTGCTACGGTTATGAATAGTAATGTAAATACCTCTGTTTTCCGATGGTCTTAGGCAAACCTGCTAGCAGTTCTCAGTCTGTGGGTCAACCTGCCTTCTGTACATCCTTCCTTCCTTTCTCTTTCTTCCTTCTCATATTCCTTACTGTCTTCCTTCTTTCCCTTTTTCCATCCTTTCTCTTTCTTCCTTCTCTCCTCCCTCCCTCCCTCCCTTCTTCCCTTCCTCCCTCCCTTCTTTCCTTCCTTCCTTTCTTCCCTACCTTCCCTTCCTTTCATCCTTGCTTCCTTCCTTTCTTTCTTCAATTCATCATTCCTTCCTTCCATCATTTATCCATCATTTCTTTCTTTTTTCCATTCATTCTTCCATCCTCCCTTCATTCCTTCCATCCATTCTTCCTTCCTTTATTCCTTCTTTACTTCCTCCCATCCATCACTACTTCCTTCCTTCCTTCCTTCCTTCCTTCCTTCCTTCCTTCCTTCCTTCCTTCCTCCCTCCCATCCATCACTACTTCCTTTCTTTTTTCCTTCCTTTCTGCCTTCCATCTATCCTTCCTTCATTTCTTTTATATAAGATTTGTCTTTTTAAAAATATGTTTTACTTAATTTTAGAGATAAAGGAAGAGAGAGAAACATCAATGATGACAAAGAATCATGGATTGGCTGCCTCCTGCATGCCCCACACTGGGGATCCAGCTCACAACCCAGGCGTGTGACCAGAATAGAAACCAGGACCCTCCAGTCCCCAGGCCAACGCTCTATCCACTGAGCAAACCAGCCAGGGCAATACTTCAGCTCTTGAAGACCTGCTCCCTGACTCTTGCCCTTTAAGAAGACTATTGTCACGGGCCTGCAGACCAGCCCTGGGCGTCATGGAAACATGAGAATGTTTGGTTTCATTATCTCTGTTACTGCTTGGCAGTGGCCACCATTTGTACCTCTGAGACATCCTCTGCCTGCCTTTTTGTACTGCTTGGGTAATGATTGCGCTTTATTTCCCCCCTGGTTAAGAAAGCCCTGAGATTTCTCGGGGCTTTCTTAACCATCACTGCTTCCTTTCTTTTTTCTTTCCTTCCTGCCTTCTGTTACTTTATTTAATCCTTTTATTTTCTCTGTGAACAGGTTAACTGTCATTAGTGGTCTTACAGGAGAGGTGAGTCCTAGCCACCTTCCTGCCTGCCTTCCTTGCTTTCCTTCCCACCTGCTCTCTTTCCTTCTTTCCTTCTTTCCTTCCTTCCTTCCTTCCTTCCTTCCTTCCTTCCTTCCTTCCTTCCTTCCTTCCTTCCTTCCTTCCTTCCTTTTTTCTTTCCTTTCTTTCTACCTTACCCCTCTCCTTTCTTGCTTGTTTTCTTTCTTCTTGCATTCTTTCTTTCCTTCTTACAATTTATCCATCCATTCTTCCTTCTCTCCTTTCATACTTCCTGCCTTTCTTTCTTCCTTCTTCCATTCCTGCCATCTTTCTAACCTTCCTTTCATTCTTCTTCCATTTTCTATCCTTCCTTTCTTCCTTCCTTCCTTCCTTCCTTCCTTCCTTCCTTCCTTCCTTCCTTCCTTCCTTCCTTCCTTCCTTCCTCTTTCTTCCTTTCTCTTTCTTCCTTCCTTCTCTTTTTTCCTTCCTTTTCCTTTCTTCCTTCTCTTATTTCTTCCTTCTTTCTTTCCTTCCTTCCTTCCATTCCATCCATCCTTGCTTCCTTTTTTCTTTTTTCTATTCATCATTCCTTCCTTCCTTCCATCCATTCATCCATCATTCCTTTCTTGTTTCCATTCTTTCTTCCAACCTCCCTTCATTCCTTCCATCCATTCTTCCTTCCTTTATTCCTTCCTTACTTCCTCCCATCCATAACTACTTCCTTCCTTCCTTCCTCCCATCCATCACTGCTTCCTTTCTTTTTTCCTTCCTTCCTGCCTTCCATCCACCCTTCCTTCATTTCTTTTATATAAGATTTGTCTTTTTAAAAAATATGTTTTTCTTGATTTTAGAGATAAAGGAAGAGAGAGAAACATCAATGATGACAAAGAATCATGGATTGGCTGCCTCCTGCATGCCCCACACTGGGGATCCAGCTCGCAACCCAGGCATATACCCTTGACCAGAATAGAGACCAGGACCTTCAGTACCCAGGCCAATGCTCTATCCACTGAATCAAACCAGCCAGAGCAATATTTCACCCCTTAAAGACCAGCCCCCTGACTCTGGCCCTTTAAGAAGACTACTGTCACAGGCCTGCAGACCAGCCCTGGGAGCCATGGAAACATGAGAATGTTTGGTTTCCTTATTTCTGTTACTGCTTGGCAGTGGCCACCATTTGTACCTCTGAGACATCCTCCTCCTGCCTTTTTGTATTGCTTGGGTAACAATTGCCCCTTATTTTCCCCCTGGTTAAGAAAGCCCTGAGATTTTGTGGGGGTGGGGGTGGGGCATCACTTTATTTAATCCTTTTATTTGCTCTGTGAACAGGTTAACTGCCATCAGTGGTCTTACAGGAGAGATGAACCCTAGCCACCTTTTTGTCTGCCTTCCCATCTCTCCTTCCTTCCTTCCTTCCATACATTCATCCATCCTTCCTTTCTTCCTCCATCGTTCCTTCCTTCTTGCCATCTATCCATCTTCCTTCCTTCCTTCCTTCCTTCCTTCCTTCCTTCCTTCCTTCCTTCCTTCCTTCCTTCTCCTTCCTTTCATTCTTCTGCCTTTCCTTCCTTCTCTCCTTTCCTTCCTATCTTCTCTTCTTCATTCCTTTCTAACTTCTTCACTTTTTTCCTTTCAACCATCCTTCCTTCCCTCTTTCTTTTCTTCTTTCCCCCCTTCATTCCTTCCTGCCATTTATCCATCCATTCTTCCGTCCTTCCTTTCATTCTTCCTGCCTTCCTTTCTTCCTTCTCCCATTCTTCCATCCTTCTACCTTCCTTTCATCCTTCCATCTTTCTCTCCTTCCTTTCTTCCTTGCTTCCTTCCATCCATCCTTTCTTTCCCTTCCTTCCTTCCTTCCTTCCTTCCTTCCTTCCTTCCTTCCTTCCTTCCTTCCTTCCTTCCTTTCTTTCTTCCATCTATCCTTCCTTTCTTCCTTTCTTTCTTATTTTCATCATTCCTTCTTTTCATTCATCCATCATTCCTTTCTTTTTTCCATCCTTTTTTCCATCCTCCCTCCCTTCCTTCCTTTCATCCTTCCTTTCTTCCTTCCATTCTTCTTTCCTTTATTCCTTCTTTCCTTTCTCCCATCCATCACTCCTTCTTTCCTTCCTTCCTTCCTTCCTTCCTTCCTTCCTTCCTTCCTTCCTTCCTTCCTTCCTTCCCTTTATATAAGATTTGTCTTTTAAAAACTATGTTTTTCTTGATTTTAGAGATAAAGGAAGAGAGAGAAACATCAGTGATGAGAGATAATCATGAATTGGCTGCCTCCTGCATGCCCCTGTTGGGAAGACGCTCTAACCACTTAACTGTCCTGCCAGGGTGAAAATCTGAATACCTTAAGGCTTTCAGTAAATCTTGCCCAAGGACCCTTTGCCAGCAGAGCATGGGGGTCAAGTGTCTCCATTCTGGAATATGGCATTTCCCTCTCCAATATAGCTCCGCTCACCCCTGGGGGCAGGTCTAGGCTGTGGGTCCCATGCTCATGACGCCCTCTCTTAGTTTGCAGATCCCCTGGATACATAGCCATGATCTTGTTCAACAAGGCCAATTGCCAGGCAGTGGCGTTAGCCCTCAACATGCTGGGATGGATCTTTACCATGGTTTCCATGGGTCTGCCTAATTGGCGCACATGGTACATAGAGAGCAGCCCTGCACCCCCCTGGGGGCTGGCCTATGTAGGGATGTGGAAGGTCTGCACTTACCATCCCAATGGCCTCCAGAGCAGACCCATAGCGTGTCACCGCTACACCTACAGTGATGCCTACCTGCCATTGGATATCCTCCTTGCTCAGCACCTGCTGCTCGTCGCCAGCGTCCTGGGGCTGCTGGGGAAAGGGCTCATGGTCATGGGCCTGCAGAGAGTGTATGCAGGACAGCTTCAGAAGGACACCCCCGGCAATCTGTTCCTTGTTTCCAAAATCCTGAACATCATAGCTAGTGCATTTATCTTCATCGCTGTACTCTGTAACTACCATGCTGTGCTGAATGAAGAGGGCATAGACTTCCCGCCCTCCTTCCACATCCCCTACAGGCCTGACCAGCAGGAGATGGGCAGCACCATGTATCTGGCGATTCTGGCTGCATTCCTAATGCTGTTGAGTGGGCTGTTTACCATCTCTTTCCAGCTGCCCCCAAAAGCCAAATATACCCCCAAGTCTCTAAGAGTGAAGTTCCCGGTTGCATAGCTTTGCAAATCCATGATGAGCAGTTCATGGGGGTGAAGTAACTATTAAATAGATCCAAGGACTCATGACCATGGCAAAGGTCATCTTTAGCAGCAAGTGGCCATATTCTGCTTTGTACAAATTGGGCTCATCGATTGGTTAAGGAACTTTCATTAAAAATAATTCCAGAGAAACCACTTTCCACCTGTCTTACTGAATCTAGTTTTTAATTATTATTGAGTAAACTAATGAACTGGTGTTCAAAATTTGTGCCCATCAAAAGAGGATTAATTAGAGGAAATATTTTAATATTCTATTTGTCCTTCCTCTATAATAGAAGTGTCAGAGATGAAAGAAAATTAGTAAAATGTATATGAAAATCTTCCTCCTCTCAGAGTCTGTGACACACCACCGAACCCAGAGTCAAGTCCCTGCCACCCCTGTGAGCCTCAAGATTGTGGGAGACCCAGACCCAGCCAGTCCCCCCTCCCATTGGGCTAGATCCAGACCCAGCTGTCCCACCTTTGTGAAACCCTACCAGATGGAGCGGGTGAGAGACACAGCATCAGGCCTCCTGGCCCGACACCAGGGTTGGAACATAGCCTGAGGTCCCCAGCCTGGGCCAGGGAAGGGGGCACATCCTGAGGTCTTCCATCAAGCCCTGCTGTATGGAGGCATGGCCTGAGGTCTCCCAGCCTGTGCCACAGTGGGGGGCATGGCCTGAGGCCCCCAACTCTGGCCAAGATGGGGAGTGTGGCCTGAGGTCTCCCAGTCTGGGGCAGGGGTGGGGCATGACCTGAGGTCTCCCAGTCTGGGCCAGGTGAGGGCGTGGCCTGAGGTCCTCTGTCAAGCTCCACCAGTTGGTCATGTGGCCTGAGGTCCCCATTCAAGCGCTGCTGGGTGGGGAATATAACCCTGCCACCTTGGTGCCAGGGTTGGGGGCATGGGCTGAGGCCCCTGTCCAGCCCCTTTGGGGCACAACCTTAGGTCTTGCTGATTGCTCTTTAAGGCTCTTTACAAGAACTCAGCCTATGCTGTGGGTGCAGCCCTCTTGTGTTATGGAAACCCTGCCTCCACAGTGGCACTGCCTTCTTTGTGGTGGAATTATGGTCAATTTGCATACTCCCTCTTTGTAAGAAAATAAATGCTATTTATCTACTGCATGGAAATGAGAGTTGCTGAGATTCTCACAGCTCCCTCTCAGCCTCCCACTAAAAACAACCGGCCTGAGCTTCCAGGGCATGGCCCTAACCCCTCTCCTCCACATGCACTTCCCCAAATGTGCAAAAGCAGCAGAGCAGGAGGAATCCCCCTTCCATGACCACACTCAACAGTGACCACGCTTTTGCCACATTCACTTTCTTTCCCCTTCCTTCCCTTCTTTTCCTCTAGTTTTCTTTCTCCAGAGAACTTTAACACAAACCCCAGATGTCATGTTCCTTCATCCCTATGCACTTCAAGATCATTCTCTCAAAAAAGGACATTTCTTCTTGACCCACAGGTTGAGAACCGCTAGCAGGGTCACCTAAGACCATCGGAAAACACAGAGATTTACATCACGATTCATAATAGTAGCAAAATTACAGTTATAAAGTAGCAACGAAAATAATTTTATGGTTGGGGGGCCACCACAACAGGAAGAGCTGTATTAAAGGGTTGCAGCATTAGAAAGGTTGAGAACCACTGGATTAATCACTGAATCAGAGAACCAAAAGAAAAAAAAAAACAATTAAAAAACAGGAGTACAGCTTAAGGGAGCTGTGAAACAATGTGAAATGTAACAATATTAGAATAGCAGGTGTGCCAGAAGAGGCAAAAAGAGAAAAAGGGATAGAAAATGTGTTTGAAGAAATAATGGCAGAAAAATTCCCTATACCGGTAAAGGAAAAAGTCACACAAGTTCAGGAGTCACAGAGAACCCCAGGCAAGAAGAACCAAACAGGGCCACATCCAGACACAACATAATTAAAATGCTACATGAGTGGTGCTCCAGGCAGAAACGAGGACTTGCCAGCTCCAAGCGGCTGGGAGTGAAGCCAGGGGAAGGAAGGCCTATTCTTGCACGAATATTGTGCAATGGGCCTCTAGTTAAAAAATAAAAAAGTAAAATAAAATAAATTAATACTTTTGGTTAAATGCTATTTAATAGAATGGGAAGCAGTTCTCACTACATAAACATTTTTGAAGCAAGTTATGATGTACTATGTTGATTTGGATCCTGTTTCATTCATTCTTATTTTTGAATTATTTGTTGATATATATCTTATTTTATTAAAAACAAATTTGTCTCTCTTCAATGAGATAAAACAAATTATTACTAATAAAATGTCAACAAGAGGATAGGGTTATGGCTGATTTAAACCTTTCATTCTTTAGCTTATGCATACTTTATAAGTGAGTGTATTTCATAAATATGTAATGAAATATAATGATTTTAACAGTATGTAGAGTGAATTACAAATGTCAACAGACCCTAGGATAAAATTCTGGTCAATGAGCAGACTTGTGGATGTGCAGGGTAGACACATTCTACCTCTATCTTTAAAATGACATTTATTCATGAAGTTGGCTTCATTCTCAAAAACAGTACCTCAAAGGCTGATGCCATTGAATAAACTATCTGAATGTTCATTCTGATAATCTCCTGGGGTTAAGAAGCTGGCATGTGTCACCCTAAAATGACAAGTCATAAAATGGGCATAATCTATTGACCACTGAAGATTTTAAATCCTAATGTTTCAGGAAAATAGTCCTCAAAGTTCACCATGAGGGCATCTGTGTAATAAGTATAACTCAGACAGATTAAAGGACATAGCAATTAATGGTACACTTTCAGAAGGAGGTGTTAAGTGGTGTCAGATATACAATTTATCTTATAGTTTAATAACATTGGCAAAATGATTTTAAGAAACAAAGGGGTAGGTCCTTGGCCACTGGAGTGTTTTGACCACATTGTACAATCTATTGAAAAACTGTATTATATTATCATTAAATTATGAAATGGGTTGCAGAATTGTATAGAAAAGTATAGAATACAAAATCAAATAGCCTGTTTTCTTGAAGCAGAAGTACCTTTTGGGGCAAGGCTTATAAATATAGAAGTTGTTTTGCTCATAAGTGACCATCATCCCTTCCTGGGAGTCCTCAATCTCAGGCTAAGTGGAACATTGGTCACCCTACTGGCCATCTATCAGTATAACCTGACTTCATGTCTTCTACATCTTGTCATTTGGACAAGGGAGTCAAACTCTCTGTGACTCAGCTTGAAAGTAGGTATAAAATAGTACCTATCTCATAAGGCTGTAATGAGGACTGTGTGAGTTCTTATGTATAAAGCTATTATGACACACATGACTCTATTAGTGAACACTAAATGAATGGCATCATTAATAACTAGTGGCTTTGTGCACAAAATTTGTGCACATTAAAAGGGAATTAATTAGAGAAAATAATTTAATATTGCTATTTGCCCTTTCTCTATAATACAAATGATGGAGATGAAAGAAAATTAGTAAAATGTATATAAAAATCTCCCTCCTGTCAGAGTCTGGGGCAGAGTCAAGTTCCCCCACCCACACATACCTCAAAATGGCACAAGACCCAGCCCCAGCCAGCCCCACCCTGTCAAGCCATGAAAGGCAGGGGGCACAGCCTCAGGTCCCCCAGTCCTGATGCTGGGTTAAGGGGCACAGCCTCAGGTCCTCCAGCCTGGCCTCAGGTCCTCTGGCCCCAACATCAGGGTGGGGTACACAGCCTCAGGTCCCCCGTCAAGCCCCTCAAGGTGGGGGAGCACAGCCTCAAGTCACCCATTAAGCTCCACTGGGCAAGAGTTGCAGCTTCAGATCCCCTGTCAAGCCTCACTGTGTGTGTGGGGGGGGGGGGCGCACAGCCTCAGGGGGGAGGGGCGCACAGCCTCAGGTCCCCCAGCCTGGTACCAGGTGGGGAGTGTGGCCTCAGGTCCCCTGGCCCAGTGCCAGGGTGAGGGGTGCAGCCTTGGGTCCACTGGCCCTAGCACTAGGACAGGGGGTGTGGCCTCAGGTCCTGAGATACCAGTGCAAGGGCACAAGGATGGGAGGGCTCCCAGGCTGCCAGAGGGATGTCTAACTGCCAGCTTAGGTCCGATCCCCTGACAGGTGGAGATCTCCTGAGGGGTCCCAGACTGCAAGAGGGTACAGGCTGGGCTGAGGGACCCCCTGAGTGCATGAATTTTCATTCACGAGCCTCTAATATGAAAATAAAGAAAATATTTACTTAAAAGCAAAATATGTAAATAATGGAATAATGCTTACACCAAAAAAATAATTTGCTCTCTCTGTGAATTATTTTTAAGAGCTGTATTTGCCCTCAAATGCAACTACTGTTACTCATACCTTTCTATGACTTATTTATTAAAAACTGCAGTATGACCTTTAATAAAACATTGAATTGACAAGCAAACTAGATTTTATTTATTGAAATAAAAAGAAGTCAAGAATTGCAGAACATCTTTGTTTATATATTGCCTCTTCTGTTTGAAGAAAATAAAAGCTGTCAATCCAGCATTTTTCTGTTACAAAATCAAAGAGAAAATTAGCCTAGGATTTTTCATCACAGTAAATAAAACCATGGCAACTTCAAATTAGCTGAAGCATCATATATAATTTCCCTGTGTTACCCATAAATATAGACATAAACTTTTTGGTCATTCTGAAATCACAATGCCTTTGCAAATATAAAAAAATGTTTACATCATTTAAAAATAATGCAAAATAGTTTATTTGAGTATGCGGCAATTTTTTTAAACTTTTGATAATGGAAAATTTTAAGCATCCACAAACATAAATTGTGTGTGTGTGTGTGTGTGTGTGTGTGTGTGTGTGTGAACTCTCATGTGCTCATTAGATTCAGCAAAGAATCAACATTTTCAATTTTTAGTATATTTTTTTATTCACTCACACACTTTTTTTCTTTTCACTGGAGCATCTTAAATCAAATGAAAGACATATGTCATTTCACTGTAAGTATTTTGGTTTGCATCTCTC